GAGAGAGAGAGAGAGAGAGAGAGAGAGAGAGAGAGGAAAATTCCACACTTGAATTTCAAGCATGGGAAACTAAAGACAGTGACGCTATGCAAAATTTGAATGAAATGGTGTGGTTGGAGGGCTTGATAAGAGTCATCTCTCACCTTAGCATACGCTAGAGGGGCCGGGCCCTCTGGATCCGTGAAACCCAAGCAAAAGGGCAAGACGATTTTGATCACCGGCGTAAATTTATTTGGATATTTTGTTTTGGGTGCAGTTCGGCATGCGGATGCATCCGTAGCTATAGAGGTAAGGTGCACCTTCAAATTTTATCGTGGTGTATAATTTTGATGTAAAATGTTTTTAGGATTATCTCAATATCTATTTTTATATCTAATTATAAAATTTTAAATTTCAAAAATAGTTCAAATCAAGTAGATCTATAAACACATGAAAATCTTGAAAATAGACGGTGTAGATAATATGTTGTAAAATGTATTGTTTTTGAGACTTAAAATCTTTTTATTTTTCATGGTCATCCATCTCGATGTCGAGATGATAAATCAAAAGATTTTCCAACATTAAAACTACCTTTTCCGACATTATAAGGTTGCATCCTTATTTGGTTTTTAGTTAGTTTTCAGGAAAGATAAATGGGTGTGGTTTTTATGGAGCCGAGGTTCTAAACAATCAAAGTAAAGCATACCTTCAATAGTGTCTAGAAATGGGGTTTTAATTCTAGAAATCTTTGTGATAGCCATAAAATATATTTTTATATCTAATTATAAAATTTAAAGCTTAAAAATAACGTAGATCAAGCATACCTATACTATTTTTACTGCTCTAGATATGGAACTCAAATCGGTGGACCAAATTGGGACTTGGATTTTGTTCAAGAGGACTAAGTTTCCATCCCCTGAAATTTTGAGTTCAGATGAGGTGTCTGGCAATGGTGTTTCTCTGTTTGCTACCCATACAACAGTTTGGACATGAATTTCTTTGTACCAGATGCCTATATACCGGTACTGAGACTTACCTGGGCTGAAATAACCCAGTTCAAAGGAACCTCCTTTAGAGACTATGGTCTGGTTTCCTTTAAGAAATTTGTCTACAGAGATGGTATCTAAAGAAAAGCAAGAACCAGAAAGAGAAATTTCTAACAGTGATAAAATAACAGGAAAGAAACCACCCTGGATTTTGCAACCCATTGAACCTGGTTTCACAGACACCCACTTTAGAATGGAGGTTTAGTTGATAGTTAGCAATGCATAAAATGAAACTCAAAAGTGGGAAAGTTTGCAAAGCTGAAGACTTGAAAGTCTTCATGCTAGGTTCTGTAGATTGTGATACAAAAGGATTGCTGAAAAGGGATTTGTGGTTGTTTTTTATGAACTTGTGGAGTCAATGGGTTTGGATTTTGGAATTTACACACACAAAAAAAGTCGGATTTGAATTTAGAGCATAGGACCATGACCATAGACTTCAACCTGGAACCAAAAACTTGAATGCCTACCAAAAATTTGAATGAAGTAGTGTAATTGAAGGGCTGATTTCATAATTAGGGTTGAACATAGATTTTAAGCTATCATAAAGTTTCTGATATCGAAACTACATCTACCAGCAAAATTTAGAAGCTTGTTTTACTTATAGTTATAGTGTAAGATGGTACCTTACACAAACCTCACCCTTCACTTTTTCTTGCTCTTTTATTTTTCTTACAATTTTGCAAGAGGAAAAACCACTCAATCTGGAAAAACATCCTCAATTTTTGCATGTATTTGGCGAGGTTTCAGATTCTAAGTAACAAAGGAAATATCTAGTATTGGAAAGATGGTTTAAAACCCGGACCGGCCAAGCGATCGGTCATCTAGAAGTCAGGTCCGGATCAGCGAATCGAATCAACTCTCCTTGAGAATTAGTCCAAAAAATATATATAAAATAATAAAATAAGGTAATGTATGGGAAGGGAGCAATCCAAGCTATGAGCAGTTTCCTTATGGAAACTAGGTTTTCTTATGGAAACTGCAATCCAAGGAAACCGTTAAGGAAACCTAAGGAAACCGCAATCCAAGCTATGAGCGGTTTCCTTATGGATTCCCAATTCCGATAAGGATCTAATTGGTCTAGAGCAATTCCTTATCCGGATCATGGATTTTTTAAAGGGAAATTTATCAAAAATCCAACGAGAGAACTATTTAATAATTTATCTATTTGGAACTACTACAACTCAAGACCATGTATTATTTTATGGGCATTTTGAAATTAATCTAGAAAAGGGGTAAAGTTTTTAATTATGGGCATTTTGAAATTAATCTAGAAAAGGGGTAAAGTTTTTAATTATGGGCATTTTGAAATTAATCTAGAAAAGGGGTAAAGTTTTTAATTGTTACGCTCTAATGGATAATTGGATAAATTTCCCTTTTTAAAATACTTATTAGAATATTTGGATGGCCCCAAGGTATTTTTTTCCATCAAATTTGGCACACACATCCTTAAAATCTTTGGAGAGAAGATCACGAAAAATAAAAAAATCCTGGAGTTTGTTAGAAGAGAGAAAATTGCAATGAATGAAAAAATAGTCCGACTAAATGCCAAATAATTTTTTTGAGTGACCCATGAAACGGAGAACTCCCACTAATCGGTTCCAAAATATAAATTTTTAAGTATTATATGTAGAATTTTCACTCATGGGATTTTATATTTTTAAGGATTATATGTCGAATTTTCACTCATGGGATTTTATTTTTTTTATATGTAACAGTGGAAATAGAGAGAGTGGAATTTGCACTCATGGGATTTTAATTTATTTTTTTCTAATATCCATGCATCTTGATGTCCAGATGATCAATTTGAAAATATTTAAACATCAAAACAACCCCTTCAAGTGAAATTTTTGAAGTGGACGCTACGAAAACAACCCCTTCAAGTGAAGTTTTTTAAGTGGGCGCTACCAAAACAAACCCTTCAAGTGAAATTTTTGAAGTGGGCGCTACTTTGATCGGTTGCCTAGGCTCTGTATAAACTTGTTCCTTTGATAAATAGGCAAAATGGTATATTTGATAAATTTTTCTATTTCCTAAAAGCTAATATAAAATGAAAAGTATTTAATTTGAGAATTCATTTTCTTCCTATGCATACACAAAAACCTTGTTTACTAGAAATATATTACAAGCAATAAATTATTTCCCAAATTCCATATACCAAAAATATAAATTTTTAAAAATAAATTTAATCCAAATTTTTTTTTTAAAAAAAAGAGGAAAGTGCATAATATTTACCATTACTTGAAACTAAAAAATAAAACACAAAATCTTATATTGAATATGCATACGAGCATCGAAACCTCATTTATTAAGAATCTACATGAAGATATTCTTTTTCAAGTCCCTTATTTTTATATTAAATTTTTTAAAATCAATTTTGTAACGAAAAGTTTCAAAAACAGATAAGCGATATTTACTTTTATTTGAGTTATTAATGCTTTTTATTTGAAATAGAATTTCATACTAGCTAAGGATAATGGCATGGCACCACGATGTAGTTTAAATGAATAGTATTTTCAAGATATCCAATTTAATAAATATTAATAGCATTTAACTCCACTATTTAACTCCTAAGTCTGTCCATATGATTTCAATCATTTACTATAATTGGTCAGCGTTTAATTAAATTTCTACATATTAATTTATTTCTTAAATTTCATTACTTTTTAATTACTTTTTAACATTGACATTGACTTTGTTGAGATGGTATTGTTGTTTTGATAATGCAGGACATTTTGCTTTCAAGATGAGAGAGAGAGAGAGATTGTTGAGATAGTATTGTTGTTTTGATAATGCAGGAATTCTTGTTTTCAAGAATTGCTTCTATTCATGCATTTCACAGAAAACAGTTCATAGCTTCATCATCCCTGTTTTAAGCAAAGTAAATGGTTATTATTCAAGGTTCATCATCATCCTAGAAGATATGACATTCAAGCATTTGTGTCTGACCAGATTGAGAGAATGAAGATAAACATTAGAACATCTTCCCGATTCCATCTATCCGAGGAAACGACTCTTCGACTACCAACTTTTGCCACTTTCCCATCAAAGATTGCAACTGTTCAACTTTGTCATACATCCCAAGAAGCCCACCAGTATGTATGAAGAGGATTTTTTTCCCTTCCCACTTCGCTGGATTTTGTTTCATGTCTTTCAGCAAAACATATGCCGCCTTTCCACTGGAAAATTAAGCACATGAGCAGATCAAGCCCAGAAGTTAGTAAGACTGAAAAACCCTTGTGCTTGAGACAAATACAAGATTAGCTCTCTCTCTCTCTCTCTCTCTCTCTGTCTCTCTCTCTCACACACAGACGCATACGCGCATAAACACAAAAAACAAAGATCAAAAGCCCAGAAGTTAGATTGAAGCACCCTTGTACTTGAACAAATATGAGAT